TCGTTGTCGTCTTCATCATCATCATCATCATCATCATCGTCATAATCATCATCATCATCGTCGTCATCATCATCATCATCGTAGTCGTCATCATCGTCATCATCGTCATCATCGACATCATCGTCATCATCGTCATCATCATCATGATCATCATCGTCGTCGTCATCGTCATCATCATCATCATCGTCGTCATCATCGTCATCATCGACATCATCGTCACCATCGTCATAATCATCATCATCATCATCGTCATCGTCGTCGGTCGTCATCATCATCATCATCATCATCATCATGGTCATCGTCATCGTCATCATCATCATCATCGTCGTCGTCATCATCATCATCGTCGTCATAATCATCATCATCATCATCATCGTCGCCGCCGTCGTCGTCGTCATCATCATCATCATCATCATCGTCATCATCGTCATAATCATCATCATCGTCGTCGTCGTCGTCATCATCATCATCGTCATAATCATCATCATCGTCGTCGTCGTCGTCGTCATCATCATCATCGTCATCATCATCCGTCACAGATGGTGATTTAAAAATTGACAACTGCACCTCCTGGCCATGATTCCTTCGGCGCTAGCTGGACAAGGCAACAAGACTGGCAAGATGCAAACTCAGAGTTTTTGGCAAAGTTGCTTTATGTTGCTATTGGACATTCTCTTGATATCTCTTGATGCTGTTTGAATCATCAAGCTGAGATTCTCTTTGCGTGTCCGACGGTGTTGTAGTGCGTGGCCTGGGTACGGCCAGCAATACGAATCCACATAGAACAAGCTAAAAGAGCTTATGTTGGATTTTTTGGCTAGCAGCTAGCCGATCAATCACAACATCATCTTCAAAATATTGCATAGTGCAATATCGTGCAACAAATGCCAAATGGCAAAACTGAAACACGGCCACCAAGCCCGACGAAACATGCCCAAGTCCAAACCCGGATACCAGGATACGCAACATCCGGCACCAAAAGAAAAGCACCACAACATCTATCACAATACGACATACCTCATGACACCTGGACATACCCCAACAGATTTTCTCGCGGGTGAGTCATATTCAGTCGTAGTCATTAAGGCAGAAAATGACTGAAATATCAACATGGTATCCACTGCATGGTATGAGCGTGTCACAATTGATGCCACTGAAGGAATCGAACTTCCGGCACCATGCAGGCTACGAAAAATGCAAGTCATGAGTAGGTATGAAGTCTCAAACTCCTAAACACGTGAAAAACACTCTGTCGAAACCTGAAACCAACACAGGACCCGAACAGAAATGACATTTCGCAAAGACGTCAAATCAAAAGATCAAGTTGCAGGAAGGGGTGCAAAGAAGCAAGGGACAAGAGAAGGTCTGCCAGCAGGTGCCTTGAGAGTGGAAACTGATACACCGACTGAAAAAAAAACATCCCGGCTTTGTTCGAATATGTTCGAACCAGGGCAAAACTGTTGCTTTACAACTATTGGATGTGGCTCACGGCTTTGCGGTCAAACTGGCGAGAGATACACCAAGGACGCATCAAGAAATACACCAAGGAAGCTGTGTAAAGATCAAAAGATAAATGATAACAACAGATCAAAAAAAATCAAATAGGAACAAAGAGGAACAAAGAGAATAGGGTGAGAGAATGTGATGGTAAGATATGGTAAGCAACGGCAAAAACATCGCTCAGACAGGTGCCCACTTTGGCTTGCTGCTGGCTTGCTGCTCAGCCTGCCGTAACATCCGTAACAAGTCTAGCATCCAACCCCAACGAAGAACTTCGAGTAGCACAAGCAGCACTAACCTGAGGTGTTGGACCCCAACCACTGCCACTGGCAACGTTGAAGTCATGCTTGCCAATGCTAGAAGTCATGTCAGCAAGCACGGAGTGTCCTAATTTTGTGGTTGTAAGACGATCTTTTGCCTGGCGAAAGACAAAGCAGAAGCAGCTTAACAGCAGCTCAAAAAATGACAACACAGCACGATGCACTGCCTTCATCCCCAAGCACTTCATAAGCAGAAGAGACTAACTTAAACGCAGCCTCGCAAAAACGAGGCTTTCAAAGATTGTTTCAACACGGTGAAACTGAGAATGGAGATTCAATGGTGATGCTGGTTCATATTCATGACATTTATATTGATCACATTTCATCACAACTCTCTTGCCATGTCGATATCATGCTGGTGTCATGTGCGTGTCGTAAATGTCAGTCGTGTCAGCGTCACGTGTCTTTTATGCATCGCTCATGTGTCTATGTGTCTGCTTGACTGCCTCCGCTGCCGTGATCAGGTCCGAGTCTGTCTCACCACCAGGGCATACCTGCTAGAGAACACCACATGTTACCGAACAGACCTCAAATGATTACTCATGTTTATTCATGTGTATTTATGATTTATTCATGTTTATTCGAACCAGCAAATCACGAAAGCTGAGACCACAGAAACCTAGCCACCATTGCCACCACTCAAAGGTACTGATATGGCGAGCCTTGTCTGGGTGGATGCGCAACGCAATCTGACGGTATGCGTTGCGGATGTCCTTAGTCATCTCAGTGGGCAGGATGTTTGGCATGTCAATCAGTAATGATTGAACCATATTGAACCCAAAGGGGCAGCATAACTCTATTTGCAAACATGCATCTTTTGCTGGTGCAGAAGGCTTCACACCTAGCGTCTCGTAGAAGTTCCTTGCTTGCTTCACCTTCAAACATGGAAATCTCTCAACATGAAATAATCCAGTGATGCCATGCCATGACTTGTGGCTTCAATTATGAACCTTGCCGCGTTCTTCCCACATGCATCAAGATTTTTCGGTGTATTATGGTATATTATATAACATAACTGTATTATGTTTTCAATGTTGGCAGTATAAGGGATCAAATCAAATTTGAACCAAATCTGCTACGGGACCCCATTGACCAATCATGCCAATCTCCTTCGGTACCAACTTTTGCGGCGATGTGTGATCCCATTCGACCCGCTAGTCCTAGCCTTATCGCCTTATTTGAGACTTTGCAGGTTGAGAAACCTAAGATCCACTGAAGGCTGTAGCCTATAGGCCAAACACGCCACAGATCCTACGGATTCATTTGCCCACGCCCCTGGATGCTGGCAGTTTGGGATGTTGGCATTTTTGTGTGAAACAAGGTGTCCAGTTTTCGTAAAGATCTATGGTATCGTCAAAGGAACTGACCTGTTGATTCATTGATTCATTGATTGGTTGATTCACGGATTCATTGATTCTTTTATTGGCTGGTTCGCTGATTCTTTGGTTCATTGATTCGTTGTTTCATTGATTCATTGGTTCGTTGATTCGCTGATTCATCCGTTCATGGATTCATAGGTTAGTTGGTTCAATGATTCATTATTCATTGCTTCAGTGTTTCATCGATTCATTGTCCACTAAATCGTTGATTCATTGGTTCGCCGGCTCACTCATTCACTCATTCATTGATTTTTTGCTTCACTGATTCATTGCTTCATTTACTCACTGCATCATCGATTCAGTGACTCATTGGTTCGTTGATTCACTGAATCCGTGATTTATCGACTCATTCATTCATTCATTCATTCATTTACTCATTCATGCATTATTTCTGTCTTTCATTTCGTTTCATTCCATTTCATTCCATTTCACTCCATTTCATTCCATTCCATTTCATTCCATTTCATTCATTCATTCATTTATTCATATATACATTCAGTCATTCAGTCATTCAGTCATTCATTCATTCATTAATGCATTCGTTCATTCGTTCATTCATTCATTAATTCATTCATTCATTAATGCATTCGTTCATTCATTCATTCATTCACTAATTCATTGATTCATCGACTCACGAATTCACTCAATCATTGATTCACTGGTTCATTCGGTCAGTTGTGCATGGATTCTTTCATGTCATTTCATTGGCATCTCAACCACCATTTGCTCCTTCGTTGATGCACCACAGCTTCAACAGTTCGTTGCTTCCGCATCTCAAAAACTTTCCTATAGGCCATCATCTTCCTATAATTGGTTTAATCTTTTGAAACTTCCGCCCCGGCACGGGCCGGGCACTACCTGGTATTATATCTATATATACGTATATATACGTATAGACTATAGATAATGGAGGAGCAACGGAGATACTTCCAAAACATTGAGGTCTGCAAAATGATGAGCCTGCTGGATGACGTAGTTGGCTTTTGGAACACCAGCCTGACAAAACCAGTTGGAAATGCATTGAACATGGACCTTGGCCTTTCTCACTTCAAACATGTTTGAGTAGTTGGCTGGAGAGTCATCTGGCTGCCACGGAAGGCAAGGAATCCTTGGATTCAGCATGTCAGGGTGTGAACTGTGAAACACATCCTTTCCACAAACAATTTATCATAGTGCTCGTATATAGTATACTGGACCTTGCACATGGATGGTAAGCAAACAAGAAGAACATAAGAACCTTGTATATAGTGATCCCTCTGCATCCTTGAGTGTTCCATCTCCCACCGACTTTGATGTCAGCCAATCGAAACGGATAGACAAGATTGGACAGGATTATGCAAGATCAAATGTATATATGGTTATTTCGTATGTTATATTATATGTACATATTAAATATCATATCGTAATTATATTTGTCAACAAGATTGGACAAGCAATTCCAAAGGACTGGCATTTCAATCTTCACTTCCTGCTGACAACATGAGGTAGTAGGTGCCAGGAAGGTCAAGCAATATCGTCACCATAAACAGGGGTAACCGTCCCGGCCGCACTCTAAAAGCTGGGCAACACCATCCTCCCCACCCCTCTGGGTTTAACGACATGGACTTGGAAGAGTCTCAAAAAACATCAAAAAACCATCCACTTCATGGCACACTTCATGGCCCGTCTCTATATTAGATTTTGACTGCAAACCCCAGGAATGAAAACTTTCCGGCTTCAAGCCAGGAGGGAAAATTCCAGAAACTCGACAAACCTGGCAACATCTACTAGCAATATCTCCGTATATCTCGGTTGTGACAACTTGGTTCCAGGTGTCTTCACTACTTTCCGATTTGTTTCGCAAAGATTCTCTGGTACCACACTCGGCTTCTTATTTCCTGCTCTCCTTTGATCTTCTCGCTGCCTAAACGTTTTTGAAACGCATGTTCCAAGGCTTTCAGAATGGGGAGCAATATGGAGCGGGATGGCCATCAGCTGTTGTCCCCATGCGAACCAAAAGCATCCCAAATCTGTCAATCTGTCCAGGTCCCAGAGCGTCTGAAGGCGAATCGCGGCACCTGCGTTGCGCATTCTCTTTCGCCCATTGCGCCTGTGATTTCCTCAGTGGGCATCACTGGTATCTCCAGAGCTCAAAATGAAACGGTACAAAAAGCAAGAAATGATACTATCCAAATCAAATCACATGTAAAACTTATGTAATGTACAAGGACCGCGCACTGTGGGATGAGTGTAAGGTGTGCTTCACACATGATATCGCAAATACCCACTGAGTTTTGGAGGCCGTAAATGGCAGGCGATCTGATCAGAGAAAGCAGCAGTGGCTTGGGGACGACTTGGCTCAAAGAAGTAGCTCAGAGAAAGCTTGGCTCAGAGAAGACTCGGCTCAGAGAAGAGGTACCGCAGAGAAGAGGTAGCTCAGAGAAGGAGTAGGTGAGAAAAGGCTTGGCTCAGAGAATAAGCAGCTCCAAGAAGAGATAGTTGTAAGAAGAAATAACTCAAGAAAGAAACAACCCACACAAAGGGTTGCTTAGAGAAGAAGTAGCTGAGAAGACTTTGCTGAGAGCAGAGATAGCTCAGAGAAGAAGTAGTCAGGGAAGGGGTTGATCGGAGAAGAAGCAGCTGAGACAAGAAGTGGCTCAGACACGCGGCGACTTGGAGAAGAGGTAGCTCAAAGCTCAAAGAAGAGGTTGCTCAGAGACCAGATAGCTCAGAGAATACGAAGCCGAGAGAAGACGTGGCTCAGAGAAGTAGTAGGTGAGAAAAGACTTGTTATTTATGTTATTTGTTCAGTGGTTAACGCCTTCAATGCATATAGTCATCCATTCAGTCATTCATTGATTTAGTCAATGAACCAGACACTCAGGCCATCAAAGAGTCGCTGAGTCGTTCATTCATTCGGATGCATGCATGCATTCGTTCGACCTTGCAGTGATAAATTCAGTGAAACACCTGCGTTTTGAACGGATTTTCTTGTGGGCACTGAATGGGCACTCCATCTCTTATGGCTGTTGATTGGTTTTTGAAACTTCCGCACCGGCGCCGAGTACTACTGATACTCTGGTATCTCATGGTATCCCATCCTTTCCGCCAGGTTTGGCGATCCAAGGATCCCGTATTCACCCACGATCTCGTGACTTGTACAGGCACAGCCGCAGCGTCTGCACAGCACCTGCGCAGCTCCGTATATTTAGCAACTGAGCAGAGTGATGCCAAGTGATGCAAAGTGATGGAAGAATATTGAAGAGGACCATATAGAGGGCATCAAGGTATCATGGCCGATCTGTTCACTGTGCGTTCACTTGACAGGACAAGACTCCGGCCTGATCCAAGTGCATGAGATAGGAATACTTGCCTTTGAAATGCAGTTGACCGCGTCTACCAATTCATTCTGCCCGTCACAGTCCAAACATCACCCAATCAAATCCTGAAGGAATAGTCGTAAACACCCTGTTTGATCTTTTGGGGGCATTTTGCTCGTGTACCAGCCGTAATATCAACTTGCTGCGAATAAAACCAATCTCTCCACAACTGTCGCAGCATTTTCGGGGAGTCCTTGAGTTCAATGAATAAAATGCTTTCTGTCAACAGCGTCTGGACATGTCAATACAAACGTCAGCAAGCTGTAAACGGAGGCAAAAGCTGCGCTGGTTCTGAGAGCAGGACTCAAGATGAAGCACTCACAATGTTTGCCTGATGATATCGGATGATGAAATAAGATGAAAGAGCCTGAAATAACCAACTCTTGGATTGCTGAATTCTTGCAAACAGCATTTCCAAGAATGCCTCGATGTGATGTTTATCTAATTGCCGAACAAAATGCCCTTATAGTGTCACTATGTGTCACTAGTGTTTCAGCGCGTCCATCCTGTGGGTTTCCACGGAAATGCTTACATATGCTTACATTGTAGGCTTACATGACACCCAGGCGAATGTGATGCATTCAGTGTACTCCAGGCTAAAGGCCATTCTTGGTGACGGTGTTGCATTCTGTATTGTGCACAAGCAATGGGGGCCAAAGCCTTATGAACTATCACTGACTATCACACATGCATCAAGTTTTGGTTGAAGATGTTGAAAGATTGTGATGTTCTTGTCCATAAGGAAAAAAACATGATTTTGAGTTTTCAACCTTCCTTTCTCTGGCAGGCTGCTTGCAATTGGACAGAACCTGTGCCTGATTGTAGCGTTCCTCTTCGTGCAATTGTGTGGTCTGGTTTGTTGTCACTGCAACAGTTAACAGGCATGAAAAACCCGAAATATACCTCAATCATTTTTGATATGAGCAGTTCGTGAAAGTGTAGCGATTCTTGCATCTGTGGCCGAGCAAAGCTGTTCCTAGTTGCTGTGATACGCAAGCGAAACATCTTGTGGAAAATATTGCTGTAAAATGTTGTACAACACGTTCATTTTTTTCAATCAGTCTGTCCGCAAAAGAACAGCCAGGAGGTTTGGTCTTTCACTTGGTGCCATGGACAGGTGTGATATACTTGCAGCAAAGGTGCAGCTATTGCACCGGCCACGTATTCGCGCCTGCACATCTGTTTGCACAGGTTAATGTAGGTCGATGAACCACGAGAAAGGCGAAAACATCAGAAGCAATAAAACCATATAAAACGCTGTAAAAAAAATGTAAAACATATCGAAAACATAGTGAAAAATGGCAAACCAATGGGATTCAGTTTGCTTCACTCAGGGGCTCGCCAGCGGATCAAAGGTCATGGAAGTCTGCTCAACCGTGTCTACAGGGGCACCTCAAGGAGTGTGTGCTACGCACACGTCAAGTACTTTCTCGATCCAGGAAGCATTTCGCGCAATTTCGCACAAGCATAGCATTTAACTCGAAATTTCCTAAGCCGTAAGTTGACTGTCATACTCCTGCAGCGAGAAAGCCAATCGACATTTCCTCAAGTTTGACTGGGAAACAAAAGCATTAAATTTGACTTGGGCCTGTCTGAGCTTCTACCCAATCGCTGCAGATCTGGCCAGAATCAGCGCTGGAGAAAGGAAGTATAGAACAAAACAATGATAAACATGGACAAACGCAGCGTATTGCAATGGTTTATGGATCATCCTCTTATCTTTCTCAAAGGTTTGAGACTGATCTTCGCACCTGAGCACACATACTCTTGGGATGGCTGGATTCGATCCCAGGTACCATCACAAGAGCGATAACCCTGCGACACAACAGGAGACTATTGCAAAACAGAACCAAAACAAGAGCAATTTGAATGAGAACGCAAAACTCCTTTATCCAGATATGACAGCGCCAAACACAGGAGCAAAAAATGCCAAAGTTGAAAGTGAATCATGAATATGAACAATGTATATATAGATATGAATTGATTATATAGTAGAGATGACTATGGGATAAATATGAACATTATATGAACTAATGTAACTACTGGTGGTGCCCCATGGTGACCTTTGCGGAAGTGCTTTGACTCAGCTCCGTCCTCACATAGTAGGTGGAGTCAGCAGCTAAGCCTTGAATCTTGCCTTGTCAGCGAACGTGATTAACGCGTCAGCTTGTCCGCTCCATCAGAGCACAGAGAAACAATGAGGGAACAATGAGAAACAATTGGCATTGCCGGCGTTGCATTCTCAGACTTGATCAATTCAAAGAGCCTGTAGTTAACCGAGTTTTGTCCAATGCAACTGCTTTGGTCTTCTTGTCCTCAATGAACATCGTTTGGAATTTGACAACCCAAGAATGTACAAGGCACATCAAGGCACTATCACCAGACTATCACGTTGCATGCAGTCCTGACCCATCCACTCCAGCGTGTACAGGGCAGATTTCACCGGAAGCTGCTGCCATGTGATGAGAAGTGCCTGTCGCCCCGCTGGCGTTGGAAGAACATCAAGAAAGGAACGAAAACAAACTGACTAGCTGTATGCGGTATATTATATTATCCGCACAAAAAAAAGGAAAAGCGTATGTATAGTCACATCTACATATGCATATTGTACACAAACATACTTACAGCTTTTGATGTACTACTGGAACATTAAAAATCAATTTGTCCAGGCAAACAGAAAGTCAAATCACACCCCAGCAATCCTGGAAAGAAAGATGAAAACAAAGTAATAGGTGTTTTGAGGGCTCAGAGCTGTATCAAAAGGGAATGGCAAGTGATAGCAAGCGATGCAAGCGCGATGGCAAGCCTGCATATTCCTGCCATTTCCTGCCCATTCTGATGATATTCATTTCATGCCATGCCTCTGCAAAGCATTTCGTCATTTGTGGTTTCAATGAGGTGCACTGAAGCAGGGGTCCATGGCCAAGGTCTGTTCCATCCTGAAGCTTTGAACGCAAGATACGGGAGATGGGAGATGTGGTAGTATTCGTGGGAGTATCCAAGCATATGTCAGAAACATGCAAACTTAAAAAGAGTCATGAAAAAACATATGTATCTTCTTGAACTGGCCATAGATTATAGTTTTGCTCAGGTCTGCTCCATGCGTATCCATCCAGGATCTTTTTGCCTCACGCGGAAAAGTAAACATAGGACTTTCTTGCAAAATCTGCAGAATGAAGCGGATGTGACTACCATGTCAGCTTCTCATGGAGACTGTGGGGGCAGTTCAACTTTTGGCTCAGGACAAGCAACGGGGTAGAATCTACATCTACATTGTCACATTGTGTTTTTTCCAAGAGTTGAAAGTGAAGCATCAAGTGATTTTCCAGACATGCCTGTACTTCTTGCTGGTTTGCAACCAATTGTCTTTTGGATAGCCGAAGATCCGGTCTCCCTGCACAAGAGCAGTGGCTCTTGATGTCAAACACATGTACTTCAGGGAGGAAACACACATACTCAAAAAGGAAAGGTAATTCTCCAAGGAGCCCTTGAAAATATGTTCCACACAGACACACTTACACACGCACAAACACAAATGAATAATGAACTCAAATATTAACGGTTCATGATGTAAAATGATGTAAGAGCAAGCATCACGGTTCCACGTCCAAAGCTTAAACATAAATAAGTCTTTTCTTCCTACGCATTCACGGCATCTTGCAAGCCATACAAAACTCTGGAAAGGCGCAAGCAACATCAAGCAACAGGTTTTGCAATCTTTGCATTTCTTTACAGCACCGCACTATATACTTGCGCTCTGGGTCCATGCACTTACTCCATGGGGTCGGTGGGTGCTTCCAGAACTCATTGCTCAGAACAGAAAAACTATTTGGGACAGTGCAGGGTTACATACGGGTTTTTCGTTTGGGCACAAATGTAAACGTGATGGTGACATTCCTGAGAACAAAAAACTTCTTCCAGACTCCTTGGTTCCTGCCAGCAGTATCCACAAGATGTTCTACAAACTTGGCTTATTCTATCTTGTTCTCTGTACATGGACTCTAGCGTTCCCCTAAGAACACGCAGTACATGGACTAGGGACAAGATTGATTGATCTGTGGGCAGCTGCCTATATTACCTGAATCTTTGGGCACGCTGTCGCACTTCTTGCCTAGTCCTTGTGATGTTTCACTAAGAGGACTTCACAAGTCAAGCAAGGCTTGCCACTTTTGACATCAGGTCTACGGCATGCCCTCGTGTACCAGGAATATTCACACAACGAAGCATACTCACCCATCGTCAACCACCCAACACCTGTCTACAAAAATTAAGGAACATATAAACCACATCAGGCCAAAAAACGGGGTTTCTGATAGATAACAGATAACATCAGATATCAACTTGATGAGCTGGACAAATATGTGTGGCAATGGGATGTGATGTATGGTGGCATAGAACCAGGGCAGTGAGGCTGATGTCTTGCGCACATATCCATATATATCCTATGCCCACCTCTTTCACAATTCCCACGGACTTTGCAGTGACTCTGGGTCTCCTGCAGGGGCATGTTTTACGCAACTAAAATAGAATGATCAAAGCTTTTTGCTTTGCATTGCTTCTTGTCTGCTCCTTCGCACCGAAACTGACTTGAACACAACCTCAAACTCCAAGGCGCCAGTGTAGATATCCTGACAAGGCAAGAGGTCAAGGACTTCCACATCTCCAACGAACATACCAAATACCTCCAGAGCAATGTACCGAGATTTCATGAAATTTCCATGCTCCTTGGTACATCTGCCCTGCGTATCCCTTCTTAGCTCCTGGCTTCAGCTCTCCATGATACGCCTTTCTCCTCATCTGAGTCCTTTCCCAAATTGTGCGATTCAAGACCACTCGACGCGGGTCAATGCGATTGGTCAATGCCCAGAATCCGGGCCCTCTCAATCGCTCCCAGTCAGTCAGACAGAATATTTCGTCATTTGATTAACATATTCTTCCAGGTGTTGCATCGTGTCATGCACCACAGTGCTGACCAATGTTCTACTCCAAGAATTCACAGCAACACTATCGCATTCATTATGGCGTGGATCTAAAGGAAATTCTGGTCTCCTCTTCCATTGCCTTTGGCGTTTCGCCAGGCTTTAAAGGACGCAGCAGAACGCCCAAACCAACCTGCACCACAAGAAATTGTCAAGTGTCATGGTTAGCTCATGTTAGCTCTTGACCATTTTATATATATATATATATTATATATATATGTGATTCTCAAGCATGGAGGGCCTACGAGTACTTTCAGCTCCTGCTGACTGTCCTGACTTCATGCCTCCTCGCCATTGATCAGCGCCCATGCAATTTTGCCGGCTGCTCCAGCCTGAAACCATGTCACTGCTAAATTCTGATCAACTGTGACAACGAACATCGTGAGAATACGAAGAAAATTAGGGGCAGTGATTCTCCAGGAAATAAGCAAAGAAAACCTGAGAAGATGAGAACGAAAACCAGTGTTTTTTCACATCTGTTAAGCATATTTGTTTCAAGGCTAACGTTGAACCCGACCTGAAGTTTCCGTATTGTCTTCCTGTTTCGTTTATTCTGTTATATTGTGGGAGGAGATTGTTGCGAGCGGCAGAAAAATGAGATAAATCACATTTTTTTTGCAAATCCTAAATAAAATCAATCCAGATATGAACAGGTTTCACCCCCAAGCATATACTTTTCACCCAACTATGTGTTCAAAATTGCCGTAAATCAATAAGGTTGGGTCAGAAATTCCTGGATATAATTTCGGTCCATGCAAGTCCCAAGCAAAATCATATGTATTTTTTTTGTTTAAGAGAGTCATAAGGCAAAGGACCTGAAATATAAGTACACACAATTCAGGAATAAGAATATTAAAACGTATTTGCACCTTAATATATTTGAAACAGTTACATGAACCCTTCCACTATCCTTTGCAAATATCATTAAATATCATATGTTTTCTAAAAAAAATGCCGGGTGTCCTTAAAGAAGTACAGCCTTCCGTTGAAAGGGAAACATGTTTATACAATATCTAACATGAATTCAACATAGCGCATTCCCGTTCTAAAATGCAATATTAAATTCAACAGTGATGTATCCCCAGTTTGTAAAAAAACATGTTTCATTAAGTTGCAATTTTCCTTTGAGAAAATACAATGTGTTTTCAACATGCAATACCCCTACAAATTATGAAGGCACCCTCGAAAAGATGCAGCATTCGTGTGTCAAAAAAACGCAATCTTCTTCCAAATGATATGGCATCCCCAGCCGCCGAAAAACCAAAAGCAAAGGTCCTGCTCCGTTACCTTTGTGTTAGCCTGCAACGTCTTCTTATCATTGCATCTGTTGGTTTTTTTGTGTGTGCGTTCTTCAAGGCCGGCGTTGATTCTGCTGTTTCTCCTTAGCATTACATCTGCGATGTTTGTTGTTCTCACAATATGCGGACACAGGCACGTCCCTTTCCCCGCAAGCACCACAAAAAGGCCAACATGGTTGTATCGCGGCTTCACTTCCTACGAGCAAACTGAATGGTTGCGTAACACACTCCTAGTGAAGAGGATATCGTGTCTGGTTTCACAAAGTGGATCTACGGCTATGACTTTACCAGAGAAAGGTTCTGCTGACACTCACGCAGAAGCATGCCTCTACCTTTCCCCGCAACGGTGCTATGCAAAAAGGACATAAACAGGAGAAGGCCAACATGGCTGTATCGGGGCTTTACTTGCTACGAGCAAACTGTATGGTTGCGTACCACACGCTAAATGTCAGGAGTCAACAACAAGGCATTAACTTTGATTGGTGGTAGTTTTAACAAAGGCGAATTTGAGTTGATTGTATTATATATACATATATATATATCAAAGATTCTCAAAGCAAGGGGAAAAAAATCATGAGGAAGGTTCATTAAGTGGGTAAGTTTGATAATTCATCTTGAGGTTGAAGACGATTGGGGTTTAATCTCAGTGGTGTGTCGAAAGGTGCATAGGGGTATCGGCCGGTGTGGTGAACAGCAGCAGGAAGGGGTCTTGAAAAAACAAAAAGAACCGGGCAGCAGGACGGACCAGGACCGAACGCCCAGCGTCATCAAATTGCGACACGGTGGGGGTGTGGTATGGTATGTTGGGTATGTTTGGTGTGTATGGTCGGTCTGGTATGGCATGTTTGGAAAGTATGGTATGTTTGGTATGTATGGTAGGTATGGTATGTATGGCATGAGTGGTTGGTATTGTATGGATGGTAGGTATGGTATGTAAGTCTGTTGGGTATGGTATGTTTGATATGACGCGCAACGGTGCTATGCAAAAAGGACATAAACAGGAGAAGGCCAACATGGCTGTATCGGGGCTTTACTTGCTACGAGCAAACTGTATGGTTGCGTACCACACGCTAAATGTCAGGAGTCAACAACAAGGCATTAACTTTGATTGGTGGTAATTTTAACAAAGGCGAATTTGAGTTGATTGTATTATATATATACATATATATATATCAAAGATTCTCAAAGCAAGGGAAAAAAATCATGAGGAAGGTTCATTAAGTGGGTAAGTTTGATAATTCATCTTGAGGTTGAACACGATTGGGGTTTAATCTCAGTGGTGTGTCGAAAGGTGCATAGGGGTATCGGCCGGTGTGGTGAACAGCAGCAGGAAGGGGTCTTGAAAAAACAAAAAGAACCGGGCAGCAGGACGGACCAGGACCGAACGCCCAGCGTCATCAAATTGCGACACGGTGGGGGTGTGGTATGGTATGTTGGGTATGTTTGGTGTGTATGGTCGGTCTGGTATGGCATGTTTGGAAAGTATGGTATGTTTGGTATGTATGGTAGGTATGGTATGTATGGCATGAGTGGTTGGTATTGTATGGATGGTAGGTATGGCATGTAAATCTGTCGGGCATGGTATGTTTGATATGACAGTATGTACGGTCTGCATGGTATGTATGGTTACTATGACGGGTATGGAATATTGAATATTTCCTATGTAAGGTAGGTGTGGTATGTATGGCATGTATGTTTGCTATTGTATGTATGGTAGGTGTGGTAATTACATTTCATATGTATTGTATGTATGGTATGTATGATAGATATGATAGGTATGGTATGCATGGCATCATTGACATGTATGGTAGGTACGGTATATGTTAAACACAGGTAGTGTTGTCAGAGTACACAAGTAGTAAATAGGAAGTAGATACAGTAGATACATAGCACATGTATATATGACTATAGGTAGCACGTAGGTACTTTGAAGGAGTATGTGTGCTACGTAGGTCGCCTAAAAGGTAGCATGTACCTAGTAAATGCGAGGCTGGTAGTCAGAAGTGCTGCAAAGACCTAGCAAATACGAAGCTGGACCTCAGAAATGCTGCCAATAGCTTGCAAATAAAAGGGAATTGGGGCTGCTACCTGGGGACCCAACCCATGGGGGGGGAGGGGGGGGTGGAGAGACGGAGGATGGGACCATATATATATATACATATGTGTATATATATACATATATATATACATATATATATATATACATATATATACATATATGCATGTATATTTGTATATATATATATATCTATTTAAAAAGGTGTGTATATATATATCTGTGTGTATATGTATTTGGGTACATTCACATTCTGTAAGTATGTATGTATGTATGTATGAATGAATGAATGAATGAACGTATGTATGTATGTGCATGGAAATATATATATATATGTATGCATGTGTATAAGTATATGTAGAACTAAATGTGCAAAAGAACTATGCATATAAAAATGTGTATGTGTATATATATATATTTATACTCATGTATTGATATATATATGTATTGATATATATATATGTATGTATTGGTATATATATATATATATGTATTGATATATATATATACTGGTTTAAATATATGTATATACATATATTATGTACATATATATATATGTATATGCGTAAATATCTATACAAATATTGATATATATATATATGTATTGTTGTTTAAACAATATGTATGCCAAAATGTAAATATATATGTATATAAATAAACATGTATACAGATGTAAATATAAATATGTATAAAAAATGTCTATACATATATATAATATATTATATATCTTATGTCTAATTACATATCTATATGTATATGTATGTATTTGTAAGTATTTATTTAAATGAATATACATGTATATATGTAATTACAGTATTCATGTATATATATATGCATGTGTAATATATATATATATATATATGTATACATGTAAAAATATATGTATATACGCGCGTGTGTGAAAATGTGCACGTGTAGAATGTATGAACAATGAAACCCCAGCATACTGCTAGCACATGGCCTGCTGGCTTGATTCGCGCGTGAGCTGCACCCAGCCTGCAACGAAGAAACGGCAAAATCATGGAGAAACAAAAATGTCCTCGAAATTCTGTGCATATTTTTTGGCTTCAGTCCAGAACTTGATCGCTGATGCAGTGCCATGCCCCACTGCCTTCCATCTCATAGCCCTTTAGTACATGCCCTCGGCATACGATTCCGAGTTTGTCTGCCTTGTCATGGCACCAGGCACCACAGAATGCCACAACATGCCCAACATGCCACAACAGTCCAAGCGATACCGCACACACATCTGGCATCTCATCCCTGTTGGCGCAGAAAATTTAAGCAAAGTAGATGCAAAACAAGCACAGAAAAATTGACAAAAGGTACCAAAGGAAGCTTAGAAGAACAACTTTGGAAGTAAAAATGAAATCGTTCAAGCCTGGCTGGCTAGCAACAAGCTAGGCTACAGCGGTAGCGAATGAGCCAGTTGCCAGGTTGAACCAATTAGCCGTGAGTTGGTGAGCTAGACAATCGGCAAAGGAACTGATTAGTGTGCAACAGTCCAAGCAACCGCGATCATGTCAAACTTATAGTGGGCTCAGAAGTGGGTGAGCTGCAAAGGAATTAGTGCAATGATGTTGGGCCTCGACCGTCCACCCAAAAATCATCTAATCCTGTCAGCTGTGAGCCACAAGAAAGCAGGTGCATGAAGGTCAGGATGGAGACAAGATCAGAAAGGCGCAAGAACATTATACTTTACAGTATTACAGAAGATTGCAGACAGGCAGGAAAAATCAAAAGGAGGCACGAGAAGAAACGGGCGCGCGATAAGACCAAACTCGACGACACGCGGCAACATATCATGCATCAATCAAGGCGCGCAAAGACCCAGAAGGAACACACACACACACACAAGCACACACACACAACAAAAGAAACACAAGACAAACACAGGCATGCACATCACAAACAACAAACCGAGCAGAAATGAAATGACATGATCCGGTTCATAACCCAGTTTTTACCAAGGAATTGCGAGAAAAAAACGGAAAGTCCGTCAACTTCTGTGGAAAGCGAGGTGTAAAGACTCGCAGAGCGCATCTGGGTGGAAAGAGGTGTGTACAAACGCAAAAAAGATCAAAAGCACATGTTGGGCTACCACTCTTCACCAATTTGCGGACCTTCACACTCGGCTTGGAGCGCAACAAAACTGCTCGATGTTGCACCACGAAGCTGGCCTCAGCCACGAACGCGTAAGTGCGTTCCACGGCATTGAATCAGTCCAACAAAGAGGCGCTATGTATAAGAAATATATAAATACTGTACATTCTGTGCTAGACTGCCAGACCTGCTTGCTGGTACCAGCTGGGACAAAAAAGAAATATATACAAATGCGAAATAAATGTATATATACAATGTAACACGTATATCTAAATTTATATATCAGCGTTATTATTCAAACAAAATGTAATAAAGTAAAATACATAAATATAAAAAAACAAACATCAAAAAATATAACATAATATGAAAAATAAAATAGAATATGTTTTTAAAAAATAGTAATTTAATATAAAAATTAAAATATCATATCAAAGATTTCAGAAGTATGAAATATTTCAAAACAATATATAATTGAAATCAATCTGCTATAATAGAATAAAATATCTTGATATAAAAATAAATACATATATAAATATCACAAATATAGATTTTATAGAAAACATACATAGTAAAAAAGAAAACTGTACATAATAACAATATATGTATATATATATATTAGTAAATATAATAAATTTTAAAAATAAAGATAAGTGCAATAAATGCAATTATTCAGTATATGCAGTACATAGAATATGTGATATTAAACAAGTGTAATATATATATACATATAAATATTATTGCAAGAAAAAATAAATCAAATTATTATGTATACAATACGTTGCATATACATCTACTTAATAAATAGAAAATACAACTACAATATATAGGTATAATAATTATAGAATATGTATATGTGTGTGTTTGCTAAACAAAAAATATGTAACATAAATAAAAACTGATAGTATCATGTACAAGTATACAAAAATTAAATTATACAAACTGTCTATTTACAAAAATATAGGGAGTATACAAGGAATACAAAGTATATAAAAGATGCAGTCTTTATAAATATACTATACATGTAAAGAAAGGAAAAATTATATATGAATATATATATAATTAAGATATACAATATACAAATATTTTTAGTAATTATGTCCAATATGGAAAATATATAAGAAAAATGCAATGGTATATCTATGTAATAATCTATATAAATAAATACATTAAACAAAAAATGTTTCTATGTGATATATAGCAAAAAATATATCTAGAAGATATATTTTCATATGTATATATATATACAAGGTACATATATATATATATGTATATATATATACTTAGTAAAAAAAATGTAAAAAAAAAACAAATATACAGCATCATTTGTGTTTTTACATTGTGTGTTCCTCCCTTGCTGAGCTTTTACTCTGAAAAGCGTTTCAAAACCCGTGGTCTTTTCCCGTACATGGTTCGTGTTTTCTGGGCGAAATCCGTTTGCCAGCTTTTGCAGCCTTGGCAAACCGACTGAGTGCCCTGCCACGCCTTTTTGGCTGCTCAAGGCCTCTGCAGGGCACGTCTCGAAATACGCACATGCAGAACGTTTCTGTGACTCCCTCCGAATCCGCGACAGGCGAAAGGTGTGCATCGCTATGGGACTTCAAAGACCATCTGCATCATTCTTCTGTTCAAACAGTCACAGATCCAAGTCTCGTGAAAAAATGTTTTTGTGGTCGCAGAAACCAGTTTCCCCAGGGAGTCTAATTGGCTCGTTACATGCCCATCTTGCAAGTGATGACCCCAAGGCGCCAGCGCGAGTCAAAGTCAAAGCGGGGCAGGTGCAATTCTTCTTCGCTCCGCTCCATCTTGTATTCAAATTGGTTGAAGCTCTGCGAGCTGGCGTTCTGACAAACTGCTGCTCTTTGTGGCAGAAATTTGTGGTGTCTCAGGCTTTGTCAAAGACACCCAAATTGTTTTTCTAGCTCCGTGAGGCCCGGGAAGTCAGAAGGGCGTGGTCCCAAAGCCCAGAAGAATCGCCGTTCCTGGGCGCAGTGTCGCGTCTCGATTGGTGAAAAGAAGAACACATGAAGGAGATGCAGCAAGAGGGAGACTATGGAGCCCCCCGAAATACCCTGACACATAATTTTGGCGAAGGTTAGCAAGATTGCACGGCATGGAACTGAAGTTGAAGACTTCATTGCCTCTAAATGCCTTTGGCGGAAGGCATGACTCCAGCGCCGCCTTCGCGCTGGTTGCTTATATGCATGTGTATATTTGAATATATATATATATATGTGTGTGTTGAAATATATATATATGTATAAATATGTGTATATTATATATATGTATAGATGAATATATATATATATGTACATATCTATATATATTTATTTATATGTTTATTTATTTCTATATATATACATATTTATATATATATATATTTATACATATATATGTATATATAAATATAAATATATATATATATATATGTATAATTATATATATGTATAAATATATATATATATGTATAAATATGTATATATATATATATAAATATGTGTGTATAAATATATATGTGTGTATAAATATATATATATATGTTTAGCGCGCGTCCATGCGTCTCTCTCCCTGCCTCTAGCATGCGTCTGCGCGACTCTGTACCTGCCTGTCTCAGCCTGTGTCCGTGTCTATGTCTGCGTCTCATCTGGGTCTTGTCTCTCTGTGTGTGTACGTTTGTGTGTGTGTGTACGCATGTGTGTGTGTGCGCGTGCAAACCACTTTATTATATTACACTCAAAGGAAATCCCAATGAGAAACTCAAAACATCCGAGCCTATGGGCAAATGTCCTTGAGCAACTCATGGCATTAATTAACTTCATGTCATTGGTTATACGTCACTTCATTGAAAATATGTCATTCCTTTCATTCATGTCACGTCATTTCATTTCCTGCCGTCTTATTCAAACAGAACGATTCTGCTCAAACAGAACGATCGTGTTTGAACAAACCGATTGCTTTTGTGAGCACGTTTCTGGCTGTTAAATGATTGTAGCCTGGGTCCTTACATTTCAAAAGAACTACTTTACTTCGAGTGATCCCGTATGGCATTTCAAGGCATATATTCTGCCATTTATGCTGTTGAGGTCTGGCAGTGCCCACTGACGTCTTGCGCTCGCGGTTGGGGTCCGGCAGTGCCTACTGAGATCTGGAGCTCGCGGTTGGGGTCCGGCAGTGCCCACTGAGCTCTGGAACTCGCAGTTGGCCCACTGAGATCTAGGTTGAGGCGGGATGCAGCTCTGATAAAATCTAGCGACCCTCACCTGGCAGGTGGGGAACCATCAGCTTGTTACCACGCGTGTCAGCTGATGACTCATCTTGGGCTACGTCTTCCGACAACTGATCTTCTCAAAACAACCACCATTTAGCCAAAATGAACGATGAAATCTTAACAGAACGATGGATCCAAAAGAATGTGAATGTTCAAGTTAGAACAATGGGCCTCCATTTCTTGTGCCCACTGCATGTTATGGCAGCTTCCGCCCGGCAACATGGGAACTGTTGGTAGCCCGTGCAGTTCTTTAATTTACATAAAGAAGGGGAAGTGGGCACTCTCTGGCTGACTAAGTTCAACAAAGCTAGATCACAGAAAGGGATATCTTGAGTGGCCATCTGGATCTGCCATCACAAACTGGGAAATCTGCTTTTAAGCCCCAGCCACGTTCACCTGTGAAGTTGGTGAATACATCAAAATCAATCAAAGCCGTCATGCCCTTCCAGCTCAACAAACATACTGGAGAATGTGTGGGGCGTATGTCTTTGGGGGGAAGGCCTCGGAACAGAGCCATTGGAGCTGACACATGTGGATAAGTATGGGCAAGTGTGCCCTGCCATGTCAGCATCAGCATGGATTGGGTCAACCGGCGGACCAAGGATCACTTGCAAGACAGCCCACAGAAATGGGAACCGAAAGCAAAATTGTTTGGAAGAGAAAGGAAAAGTGTAAATCTGAAGGCCATCCTTTCCTCATGAACATTGAAGCATGTCCTGCTGTTGTGACTGGTTGTACTCCGGGAACTTGCTGACTAGGGTTGCCATAGGTGGCACAGGCTTGTAGAGATCAGCAAGCAGGGGTAAATTTGGAAAGGTACACTGAAGAGAGTTGAAATATTTTGAAAGTAAAGTTAAGAAAGGTGCCCAATTCTTGATCTGCCATGCATTGTGGATCAAAATTATGACCTGCCACATCACCCTTGAAATTCACCCTAAGGGGTCAGGGCCCGCATTTTACAGCATTAACCCCGGAGCCTTGCAAAAAGCCTACAAATTGAATGGGTGCAAGTATTTTTTTCTCCATACAAAATGGTAGGGTTTGGTGCATCAACCAATTTGCAGCACCCCACATTTTGTAGGGAGGTATATTTTGCCCAGACTTTTGATTTCTATCTTATTCTGGCTGTGCTTGTATCCACTTCCGGCGCACAGCGGCTGCACACAGCCACAGCGAACAACATCAAAAAGGACACCATGAGGCTCAAATGCTCAAAAGAGATAGAGCACTACAGGAGGTTGCTCACAACAGCCAAAATCCCTGCAAAGCACGCATTCCCTACAAAATGGCCCCTTAAAGTCAACAAAATGATTCCTTACAAAATGAATGGCCACAACCCACCCAAGATCTCAAACTATATTTTGAGGTTGCTTCCTACAAAATGGCTTCCAAAATGGGCCTTCAGGCCTTCCAAATTAGTACATGCTACAAAATGGCTGGCCACGGGAAAGTGATTTCCTACAAAATGATCCTAGTCATCGACCTTATATGGGCCTGGAGGCCAACCATGCCATAGGGGAAATTTCAACGGGAATCCTGCCACCAAGACACCCCCTCCAGGATCGCCACATTGTTGATAGATGCCTGCGCCCAGGGGCGTTCAAACTGGATCCTTGGCAAATATATAGCCAAATTAGTGTTGGGCAAAGTTGTGCCTGGCGTCTCTTCATCTGCCCATTTTCCGCAAAATCCCAGTTCTCGTTGCCATAGGCTCTGTACCAGGAGCCTCACACTTCACTGTGCTATAAGCAGGCTGTGTGCTTGACACAAGCATGTACAAACATACCGAGAGCCCACAAAAATTGTAGCGCTCGCTCCAGAATCCCACGCAGCTGGACACCCTAACTACCCCAACCATCTCCAACCACGGCCTGTCGTCGCATCTTTGAACTCATACTGAAAGCAAACTGCAATTCGATTTCCTTCAAAGGCAAAAAGCTCCTTGACAAGGCGGTACTCCGTCTCCTGCAGCTCGCCGCTCTCGGTCGAGTCGGGTCATGACTCATGGCTTCCAGCAGAAACAAAAAAAGGAGAGGCAGATTCCAAACAGGTGCAAACACTAGGGCACAGAAAGGGAAAGAAAAAGAAGTGATGCGGAGTGAGCACGAAAAGTCCCCACCTTATCCCACTTTTCTCGGAGAAAGCGGACAATGGCTTCCCTGCCCTGAAAGAAGGTGTCCCGATTTCTCCAAATGCAGTCCTACCAGGCTCCAGCTGTGCTCACTATCTATGACATGACACTGCTAGGGCTAGGGGCTCTCCAAGACAAATATCAGTGAGATTCATTGAGTAGAGCCCCAGCTTCTTGTCTGCTGGAGCTTCGTGGTAACACCGTCACATGAGGAAGAGCTCTGGCTGCCAGGGTTCTCTTGAAACATCTTATTAGTTAGACATCTCTCAAACCAAAGCATCAGGCATCTCTACACATATGACTGCAAATTTCTGTCCTCTGTATAGGCCAAGCTGACCTTCTCTGGGTCACGGGTATTCCAGGCATCTTCAGCCATCTGAACCTTCTTCACCGCATCAGCCACGCTGTTGTAGGGTGGAAGCGGAGGTCTCACCAACCTAAGTCATCCAAGCCCAAGTGCTGTCACTAAATCTTTAAGCCCTTTCCGGAGGATTCCGGAGCCCTGGGAAGTCAACCATGCTTGAAATTTGCTCATATGTCTTATTAGCCAGTGTAGTAGCAACCATATTCCCAGTGGAATCAAGCAATGTCGAAGACCGGAGCTGTGCAAGAACCGTTTCGGTCTGATGGTAGTTGGTTTAGCGCATAAAGCCACCTGCAATTCCCAAATTGAGCCAACAGCGGGGGGACAAAGAGGCAAGGAGCTCACTCATATCTCTCTCTCTCTATATATATATCTTTATGTATCTTTATATGTCTTTATATATATCTTTATATATGTTTATATATCTTTGTATATCTATACTTATTGTCCCCCAAAGTACGAGTATACAATTGTCTGCTCAAGATGCTTAACTTGTGGGGGAGGTACCAAGTACCACATATATAAATGCTCTTACTAGGAAGGTGTTCTGCGTTGTAAGTATGAGTAGTCTGGAATTTAGTGGGACGGTGACCTGCGTTCATGTCAGGAGTTTCCCAAAACAGTCCAAGGACAGCAGACTATATGTATACTGCACTCCAACAGAAATATATAGCTGCATGTCCAAGAAAAAGCCGCTGTGGATTATCCAGCCATTTTCCGTAAAGGAATGATGCATATGAATGGGTTCTTTGTCCGATGAACAATGGTTGTTTGAAAGAATCCAGATGATTCCAGCACTCTTTGAAAGGAAGGCTGCATTCGTAAAAACGAAACTGCTTTGGTTATAATGCTGCACTTGTTGAAAATCACAAGTTTTCTTGCGTGGGCATTACACTTTGAAACGGAACCACGTTTGCTTTTACCAATCTCGTATATGGCACACTCTCACAGTGCTGCATTTTTTTGTTGGATACGGTATGCTCTGCAAGACAAATGTATTGTATGCCGCTTTTACAGAGGAATACTGCACTTCTGCGGAGTGACGCTGTCTTTTTCAAGGAGCACCGCACAATTTAACAAGAATATGAATGCATATGAATGCTACATTTGCTGCTTGCTGCGATGCTCAATTGCCTTCGATCTATCCTTTCATTCTTTCCAATTTCGAAGCTGCTGCGCTTCTTCAAGGAATGTCTGGAATGTTGTGTGTTTATTGTAACAGTATCCCTTTCTTGAAGGAGCGATGCAGGAATTATGCCCAGATCAAACAGTGCAAAGGATCTGACACCAACGCAAAAGGCGGGAGACATTCTTGGCATTTTGGAATTTGGGATCTAGTTTGCTTGTCAATGTCGGGCTTCTGAGACATCAACCACTTGAACTCTGTTCAACCAGAAACTCTTAGTGGTCTTAGTGGCGCTACACACATACAGTACCGTGAAGCTGAAAACAGTCTGACATTCATGTCAGTCGCAGGTCAAATACTGAAGCATGTGACTTTAATGTTGTATGCTGGGAGCAGAGCAGCCAAGCAACTGTGACATGGATCTTGTCAACATACTGCATGGTTTCGCCACAGAAAAAGCGCGCATGACGACCCAGTCAAGGAGCTTGGAAACGCTTGGCACTTGGAGCCAGTATGACTTGACAAGTGCGGCTGCGGCTCCATGCAGCAATTCAAAGCAAAACGCTGGCAACTCCAACCATAAACGTTTGAAGAATGCGCAGGTACATTGTGCAGGCGCCTGTTTCCCAGCAGAGGCGGTTTTGGACGCTTGCGCCTCAGAAAATGTGTATATGTTGTTTATATTATATATACATACTATATATATACATACTACATATACATAACATTATATATATATATACATATTATATTTGTATATATGTACATATTTGATAGACATATTATAAATTATATTTACATGTTATTTATATATATACATATTATATATACATATTATATATATATGTATACATATTGTATGTATATATGCATATTATTTATATTTATATACATATACATATTATATAAATACATAATATATAAATACATATCATATAAATACATATGATGTAAATATATATATATATATATACACGAATACATATTATATAAGTATATGCATATTATTAATGCATATCATATAATATATATATATCATATATATTATATAAATATATATTATATAAATATTATCTATACATATTTTATATACATATTGTATATACATATTAAATATACGTATTATATAAATACATATTGTATATATATATATGATTATATATGTACATAGTATATATATATACGTATTGTATATATATATATATATCCATATCATATATATATACATACTTTAGATATTATTGTGTAAAACTGGTTTTGCATATATGCATATATATATAGATATGTTTGTGCCTGTATAGATACTACTAGTATGTATTTAACGTATGTTATATTATACATGATATTATGTTATACTACCTCTTCTCAAACCCTGATGACTGCCATTTGTGGGAGTCCAGCTGGTCGCATCTTTGTGTCTCTTTCTCCTGCGCTAGAGAATCAAAGCACTTGCTTGAATTAGGCTTTGAAATGCTCGTCATCCACTCTGCAAGTTGTCTGCTCTTTTGCATCGCAGAGCTACAACCTGGCTATACTTGAGAAAATCGCACTGCACACAGGTTTTTTTCCCCAAAGCCAGGACCAACTCAAGACTCCGCTATTGAATAATTATGAAGAAAGTGCGCGCTCTGCAGCACTGAATACTCCAACAAATTGCCCTGCGAGCTCCACAGCTTCGTTTCAAAAGACGGGCGCAACAAAGAACCAATTCTTTGCCCACCTAGTGAATATGCCAAGATAAAGGACAAGCACGAAGAATAAGTCCGTGCTACAAGCTGGCGACCGTTGGTTCAAAAGCATGCCGCCATAGGCTGTACACCAAGATTAAACAATTGCCACACTTTTGAGCTTGCCACAGTCATCCATGGCATCCCAGCTTCTTTCAGTAGGGATCAGCATGTGGTTTGACGTTCAAAGGTCAAACAGGTCATACTTGATGGACGGAACAACTGGGGTAGCTTCCTTTTTCTCTGCTGCCTTTGGCTGTTCCACCAATGTCTCTCTTCCAATGCGTCCAAGATCAGCCAGAAAACTCCCAACTCCAGAGCTTTCCCCTTTGGGTTGTTCTGTCTTCCTGGCTTCAGTTGCCTTCTTGGCTTCTTCACGTTTCCTAGCCTCTTCGCTCCTCCTCTCTTCTTCGGCCTTCTTAGCATCTTCACGTTTCTTGGCCTCTTCAGCTCTCCTCTCTTCTTCAGCTCTCTTGGCCTCTTCGCGTTTCCTGGCCTCTGCTGCCTTCCTCTCGTCCTCAGCTCTCTTGGCCTCTTGACGTTTCCTGTCCTCTTCAGCCCTCCTCTCTTCTTCAGCTCTCTTAACCTCTTCGCGTTTCCTGGCCTCATCCGCCTTCTTCTCCCTGGCTTCTTCTGCCCTCCTCTCCTCTTCAGCCTGCTTAGCTTCTTCACGTTTCCTCGCCTCTTCTGCCTTTCTCTCTTCCTCAGCTCTCTTGGCCTCTTCACGTTTCCTGGCCTCTTCAGCCCTCCTCTCTTCTTCAGCTCTCTTGGCCTCTTCACGTTTCCTAGCCTCTTCGGCTTTCCTCTCTTCTTCTGCCTTCTTGGCTTCTTCACGTTTCCTGTCCTCTTCAGCCCTCCTCTCTTCTTCAGCTCTCTTGGCCTCTTCGCGTTTCCTGGCCTCTTCCGCCTTCCTGTCCTCTTCTGCCTTCTTTGCTTCTTCACGTTTCCTGGCCTCTTCTGCCCTCCTCTCTTCTTTGGCTTCTTCTCGTTTCCTGGCCTCTTCCGCCTTCCGCTCCTCTTCAAGCTTCTTAGGATCCTCTTGCTTGTCCTGCCCAACGGCCTTCTTAGCTTCTTCACGTTTCCTGGCCTCTTCAGCCCTCCTCTCCTCCTCAGCTCTCTTGGCCTCTTCACGTTTCCTGGCCTCTTCGGCCCTCCTCTCTTCTTGAGCTTTCTTGGCCTCTTCACGTTTCCTGGCCTCGTCTGCCTTCCTCTCTTCTTCAGCCTTTTTGGCTTCTTCGCGTTTCCTGGCCTCTTCTGCCTTCTTCTCCCTGGCCTCTTCTGCCTTTCTCTCTTCCTCTGCCTTCTTGGCTTCTTCACGTTTCCTTGCCTCTTCTGCTCTTCTCTCTTCTTCGGCCTTCTTAACTTCTTGACGTTTCCTGACCTCTTCTGCCTTCCTCTCTTCTTCCGCCTTTCTTGCCTCTTCACGCTTTCTGGCCTCTTCTGTCTTTCTCTCTTCTTCTGCTTGCTTGGCCTCTTCCCGTTTATTTGCTTCTTTTGCCTTCAGGCCGTCTTCTCGTTTTTGCTTCGGTTCTATGTCGGAGCCAAACAAATCATCAAGATTTGAGGAATACTGCGGTTGGCCTGTCCTTGGTTTTGCAGATGGAGCTGCGCCAAGGTCAGGGACCTTGATCTCTGGTGCCTTGATTGCGGGAAGTTCTGGCACCTTGATTGATGGCAGCTCTGGGGTTTTGAACTCAGGCAATTCTGGCACTTTGATTGTTGGCATTTTGAAGTCGGGCACTGACAAGTTTGGTGGCATAGAACTCGTGCTTGTGCTTGGAGCCGTATAGGAATACGTTGATGAGCGGAAACTTGGCGCCGACGACTTGAATGTTGGCGTCGGTGACTTGAATGTTGGCGCCTCCAAGCAAAAGACTCACGCGAAGGATAGTTATATGTAGACACAATCTATGGTGCAGCTACATATTGCAACACTTGACTATTAGAGACTGATGCAAACCCATTAGACAATTTAGAAATCATGGTTAATCACGTGAAATAATTGGTCCAGTGTTTGGTCTGCTTGCCCATGCACTCTATGCACTCCATCCTTTCTATTCGCTGCATGGCTTGGCCTGGGGCGTCACAGAGGGCGCTCGCAAGCTTGTGGCCACAGCAGCCACTCCAAGAAGTAGAGCTGCCAAGTACGACAGTCCCTGGTACTCAGTTTCAGGGCGCATTCATAAACGGTATTAATATCATCTGTGGTTCTGCCTTCCCAACCCTCTACCTTTTGCCCTCCAATTCTCAATCTTATAACAAACTTGTAGCCAAGAAGAAGAGTCTCCACAGTGCAACTACTACAATGGCCACAGCATTTAGTCTACAACGACTGTTCCATCTGTTCAGCTCTTGGCATGATGCTCCTGAAGATGATAAAGAATATGAATGTTTTTGCATAGGCCTCTGCAAAGCCGAGCAATCCTAGCCACCCGAATGGGAGCCCTTTGCCGCGCTGGAAGACGGTGCTAACCGACCAGAAGACTACCCTTAGTAAGACTCTGAGCTCAGAGGAAATAAACATCCGCTTTCTGTCAAGTTGTCACAAAACCGAAGGGCTTTGCTACGTCTATTGCAGCCATGGTTCCCTAGCGAGATGATGACGGACACGAGCTCCAGCCCAAAAGGGCCGAGTTCAAAAGTTTGGTTGGAAAAAATCACGGAGAAGGCCGAGGATAAAGCATAGCCTCAGATCTGTCGAGACTATTTTAGAGAGAGAGAGAGAGAGAGGGAGAGCACATGGAATCATGATCATCTTGGTCAAGAGTTCAACCTCAAGAAGCCCGAATTGAATGACTTGCCGCGGTCAAGGTGAGACAATTAAGTCGTGGTCTTCTGTACAATCTCACAAAATCTAACAAAATCATCTTCAACCCGTTCCCTTCCCCGCTCTGAAATGTTGGTTCTCAGAGTCACCTCTGAGTGCACGCGTACGCGTCTAGATGTGTGATACACATGATGCGTACATATTATGTGAGTGTGATACAAAAGGAATTTGGCAGCTTTCGGAGACTCCAGCTTTCTTGCTCCAACATCCTTTTGCGCAAACATAACCGACTCAATCAGTTCGTGAAAGAATCGTAGAGATTCTTAGGGTATATATATCAATATAATAATTTGATATACATATATTATCGAAGGACGTTTAGAAGTCAAACTTCCGACAATATGGACAGATGAAAAGCAGAGGTGGGAAGAGTCAGAGAAGAGAAGAGAAGAGAAGAGAAGAGAAGAGAAGAGAAGAAGAAAGAGAAAGAGTCAGAAGAAAGAAGATTCAGGTGCGCGAAAAGGTAGGAAAGTCGCGAAACTCTGTGTTTTTCCAATGATTTGTGGCTCCGGAGGGTCGAAAAGTAGGCTCGCGAAAGCGGCGGGTGCGGAGCCAGCTGGCCAGATGAGAGATGACAAATTGCACGCCGTTGTGGCGCGAAGCACATTTCCAAGTCAAAATGTACAAAACACACCAGGTCCGGACCACTTTTGGAAGTTGAGATGTCGAAAAAGTGCACGCCGTTGTCGCGCGAAGCACATTTCGAAGTAAAAATGTACAAAACAAGGTCCGGACCACTTTTGGAAATTTAGATGTCGAAAAAGTGCACGCTGCTGTGGCACGAAGCACATTTCGAAGTCAAAATGTACAAAGCACCTCAGCTTCGGACCACTTTTTGAGGTTCAGATGTCGTTTCGCGTGTCAGGCGCAAGAGATTGTGAATCTTCTCAAAAGTGAGCAAAACGTGAGGGTTTTGTAGCATGTCCAAAAACGATGGCAGGCGTGGGATTTGAAGAGGATCTGCCAAGATGAATTTTCCGTGGCAGGCGCAGTACAAGAGACATGTTTATCAGAGATGCTAGGAGGTCCGGGCGCTGATTTCCTGAGATGGGTTGCATTTTGGAGCATCAGATCTTCAGTTTTGGGAAGATGATTTTGCGTGACAGGTGCAGCACTTCGTATGACCTGGCCTCACTTTTTCGTGGCAGGCGCCATACTTTAGACGGGTGAAGTGGAAAAATCGCAAAACGCATTGGCACGAGGCTGTCAGCTCTGCACTCAACTTTCCATTTTTGAAGGAAGTCTCGCAGAATTGCTTCGTTTTTGATGCTGTCAACTTCGAAAAATGAGGAAGTCTCGCAGAATTGCTTCGTTTTTGATGTTGTCAAGTTCAAAAATTGAGGAAGTCTCGCAGAATTGCTGCGTCTTTGATGTTGTCAAATTCAAAAATTGAGGAAGTCTCGCAGAATTGCTTCATTTTCAAGCTTGCAGGTAGACAGATAGATCAGACACACAGACAGACAGACAGACAGACAGAAAGACAGACAGACAGGCAGGCAGGCAGGCAGGCAGGCAGGCAGACAGACAAAGAGACAGACAGGCAGGCAGGCAGACAGACAGACAGAC